TCCTCTCCAACATTTGGTATCATTTGCTCTCTTGATCTTAGCCAGTCTGACATGGATTAGATGAAATTTTAAAGTGGTTTTAATCTGCATTTCCCTAATTACTAGTGATGTTGAACACCTTTTAAGATGCTTCATAGCCATCTTTACTTCTTTTGAGAACTCCTATTCAGCTCCTTAGCCCATCCTTTAATTGGGTTGCTTCTTGTTTTGATTCTCTGCTTTTTGAGTTTGTTATACAGAATATATTAAACCTCTGTCAGATGTGTTGCTGGTGAAGATTTTCTCCCAATCTGTGGTCTCCCATTCTGTGGATTTTCTGTTTGCTTCCTTGGTTGCCTCCTTTGATGTGCAGAAGCTTTTTAGTTTAATGAGGTCGCATTTGTTATTTCTTGCCCTTGTTTCCTGAGCAATTGATGTCCGGTTTAGAAAATCCTTTCCTACACCTATATCTTGTAGGTTTTTGCCAATGTTTTCTAACAGTTTCAGAGTTTCAGGCTTTACATTGAGGTCTTTGATCCAGTTGGAACTTTTGTGCAGGGTGAAAGATAAGGGTTTAGTTTCATTCTACAGGTGGAGATCCAGTTTTGCCAGCACCATTTGCTGAACATGCTCTTTTCTCCAGTGAATATTCTTGGCCCCTTTGTCAAATATTAGGTAGCTGAAATTGCATTTACTGATATTTGGGTTTTCAATTTTGTTCCTTTGACCTATGATCTATTTTTGTGCCAGTAACATGTTGTTTTTATGACTACAGCTGTGTAATACAGCTTACAATTCTGTATAGTAATCTTCCTGGCATTGTTCTTAGTGCTCAGGGTTGCTTTGGCTATCTGAGGTCTTTTGTGCATCCATATGAATCTTAGGATGGTGTTTTCCAATTTTGTGAAAAATGTCATGGGGATTTTGATTGGCATTGTATTGAATCTATAAATGAGTTTTGGTAGGATGGTCATTTACACAATATTAATTCTTCCAATCCATGAGGTCCTTCCATCTTCTGATGTCTTCCTCAATCTCTTTAAAGATTTAAAATTTTCATTGTAGAGCTCTTTAATGTCTTTGGTCAGGTTTAATCCAAGATATATTATTATTATTTTGTTTGCAGCTATTGTGAAGGGGAGTGTCTCCATGTGCTCTTTCTCTGATTGCTTGTTATTTGTTTATAGAAAGGCTACAGACTTTTGTAGGTTAATTTTGTAACCTGCCACTTTACTGAACATGTTAGGAGTTTTCTGGTGGAATTTTTGGCATCTCTTAAATATATCGTATCATCTGCAAAAAGGGATAATTTAATCTTTTCTTTTCCAATTATTACTCCTTTAATTTCCTGTTTTTGTCTTATTGCTTCTAGTGGCAGGCTGAAGAAGGCGTCCTTGAGGTCCAGAACTGTATACCATTGGGTAGTGAGCAATGTATATGGGTTGGCGACAGTGGGATGAATGTCAATGACTCTCTTCTTCACCTCCCTCAAATCTTGTACCAGTCTATAGTCCCCAGATTGGGGCTTTTTGACAGGCAGGAGTGGGGTGTTCCAGGCAGACCGGGTCATTCTCAGCACCCCTAGTTCCATTAATCTTCTGATATGTGGAGTAATTCCACGTTTTGCCTCTAGGGGCATAGGATACTGGTGCACTTTAACAGGGTCCGCCCCTGCTTTGAGTTCAACATACACAGGAGGCCTGTGTCTTGCCAGACCCATACCCCCTGTTTCTGCCCAGGCTTGGGGAAATTTTTGGAGCCAATCTGATATATCAGAGTTTGGTTGGATCGGCTCCTTATGTCAGGTCGTTGGTGACTAGAACCTAAACCAGTGCCCTGTTGTGAAGCAGGGTGGCTCCTTTAGCTGTGAAGTGGATCTGTGCCCTCATTTTTGACAATAAATCTCTGCCCAGAAGTGGGTAGGGACATTCTGGGATTGCTAGAAACAAGTGGGATACTGGGCCCTTCCATAAATCTACTGTTCTTCAGGTAGTCTATGAATAGGGGTGTCTGTTGTGATGTTTCCCCTTTCATCTCTGATTTTGTTGATTTGTTTTGGGATCTATTAATCCATTATGTACATTGAGCTGTGGCAGGCTTGCTTGTTTACTTAGAGTTTGTGTTTTGCATACCAGTACCTAATCTGCCAAGTCAGGAGGAATGTGTTTATAATTTAGGGAAGATGGTTAAATGGTGGAGTTCACAACAAGTATCTGACCACTCCTTGATCCTCAGAGACAGGTGGAAAAACAGCTGTTGAAGCTAGCTCTAATGTCCTACTGTATAAAAAGGCGGAGCTAAAATAAACCGGGGCTGCAGTCTCTACTGACAGTCCTCCCAAGTATCTTTTCTCTGTCTCTTGTTTTTTCTTTCAATCCTCACTCCCCATTTCAGGTACTGTCCGTCTTGGCAGGCTGGCACCAGCAAGTGGCGCCCGGAACAGGGACCTGAAAAGTAGGGGAAAAAGGAAGGACACCACACCGCTGGAGAAGTGAAGTGAGTGCACTCGGTAAGATTGGGGAGCGGTGAGTATTTATCTTGGGAGAAGATGGGGCAAGGAAACAGTCACTCGGTTTTTGTAAGGAATATGCTTCCACCCGAGGAGCAAAGGA